GTTGGTTCTTTGCACATGCTGTTCCTTCCATCTGGAATTCTGCCTCCTTTCCTCTTTCCCAGAATACCTGCCCATCTTTCTTACCATTGGGATCAAACTTTCCTGGACACCTGCGTGCCCACCTGCCCAGGTAGAACAAGCACCCCCTCCTTGCCTCTACAGGTCCAGGTATACACTGCTTTCACATCTCTGATGTGCTTTAGGACCTTGGTTTATGGGCCTGTATCTCCCTTTCATCTTGAAAACTTCTTAAGTTTCCAGAAAGATACAGTCTGGTCTATTGTTGGGTAGCAGACCACCCCAGAACTTAGTGGCATAAAACATCATCCTGTATATGATTATCTTCACTCATGACAGCCTGGGGCACTCGTCTCTGTACCTTGGTGTCTAGGGTCTCAGTAGGGAAGGCTTCAAAGCTAGAGATAATGTCACAACTGGGCTGAAGTCCTTGAAGGGCTCCTCACCCACGCATTTGGCAATTGATGGCAGCTGTCGACTGGAATCTTGGCCTGTGTGGCCTGGGTTTCCTCATAGCACGGTGTTTGGGCTCTAAAGAGTGAGTGTCCTAATGTAGTATCACTTCTACCATTACCACAAGTACACCCAGATTGAACGGGAGAAGATACAGAGCCCAGTGTGGACCTTTGCGAAATCTGGGCTTCGAGTGGAATTTGCTTTTTTTAAAAAATTGCTACAGGGCATATGCACTCACCAGAGAAAAAGAGAGAGGGAAAATGAGAAAGCATCTCCCATGGGGAAGGGTCACTCTACAATCCTTCCTCTTTCATGTCTCCTTTTTGGGATTTTGGGCATGCACACGTGCTCAGCGTGTTTTTCAAGCTGCTGAATCCGGGATTCAAACTGTATAGGTGGCCATGCAGGATTCAGCTGCCTTCACTATGCCACTGGCTGGCCTGGAATTTGATTTTTAAATGTTAGCGACATAAGCAAACCTCATACAGGTCAGCCAAAACAGGTCTGTGGCAGATCTCAGGTTGGTGACACCCGACTTCTGTGGTTCTTTGAGTTGCTCATTGGGTAGTCTTGTCTGGGGCTGTTCTCCGACTCAGTGGACTGAAGTCGGGAGTGTTCTTGCCTTTGTCTTGACTGTTGGCATCGTCTCTTCTTGACAAGTCCCCTCTAGGATCACTGGCAGGTGTTGGCAGATGTATCAGTGGGATCCTTGGGCCAGGAAACTGGAATTTAGTTTCTTAAAATCTCCCTACTCATCCTGGCTTCACTTCCTTCATATCCGTGTCTACTTTTCCCTTCTCTTTTTAGTCTGAGAAGCATTTTCTTTCCCAGGGAATTCAGAAACACAAAAGTGAGCCTAGCTCTTCCTTGTTCTTATTCACCCACCAAAAATAACTTTAAAAATCTCTTTTAAGATACCAGTAGGTGATGTCGTGGTTATGTCACTGGACTCCCATGTGACCAATGGCAGTTCGAGTCCTGGACCCAGTGGCTTGAAAGTCATACTGGGTACATGTGCATGCATGCTCAAGACCGTGGGAGGAGAACGAAGGAGAAGGGATTGCAGCATGGCCATCTCCCCTGGGGGGTGATTTCTCCCTTTCCCTCTCACTGTCTCTGTCATGCTCGCTCTCTGGCGAGCTCACACACCCTAGGGCAAAAATCCTACGGAAGAAAAATTCCTCTTAGTTGTGTTGGCAGTTTTGGGGAAACCTCGGCTTCTGTAGCATTCTGTTCCTGACACCGTGCATGTAAATCCATGCTACTCACTCGTGTTTCTTCTCGGTTATGCGTGTTACTTCTGCCTTTTATATAGAAGCATATAAAATATGACCACTTCACTTTTTTAAAAAAAAATTATTTTATTCAACTTTATCTGTTTATCTATTCATTTATTTATTTTGATTTGACCAGAGAGGGACAGAATGAGAGAGAGAGAGAGAAAGTAAGCCACCAGGTCTGGGACTCGAACTACAGTCAGCCATGTGGGAGTCCAGTGCCTTTTAACCACACCACCTGCCGGCCCCGACCACTTCACATTCTATAGCCTTTGTTTGCCAGGTTAGTTTAGATCTCTGAGAAAGGAGGGAGTCCTGGGTAATCAGCCACATCCCTGGACATGCAAAGGTCTTCACTGATGTCAGGGAAGAGTTGACATGGTCCATGGCAGTGGGGGATGGGAGGCCTTGTGTCTTCTGAGACGCTCCCTGTGCCAGCGGTGAGCAAGAGGTGCCGTGGTCATTAAGGTCCGGCCCGTGCCTCGCAGGAACTACGGTTTGGTGGGGGAGGCAGCTACATGGACAAATAATAGTAGTGGTGTGAGATCAGTGCTCGCAGAGGTGCTCTGGGCATCCCGGGGAGGGAGTCACAGATCATTGTGCTGACGAGGTCAGGGAGCAGGTGGCACTGAGCTGACACTTGAAGGGTAAGCTGGAGTGGCCCCGCGCAGGGGCTGGGAAAGGCATCCAGGCAGTAACAGCTGCATGTACGAAGCGTAGTGAAAGTCGGAGAATGTGGCCTGTAGGAAAAGCCTCAGGATCCTTGGTGACCAGATGGGGGCAGTGATGTGGGTGAGGCAGGACCCACGGGCTGGGCCTCCGGTCACCTCCCGCAGTGCTGCTTCCAGGTCCACTTTCCTCTTTGGAGCCCATGTCGACCATTCGGCAGTCTTGGGATTAGCACTGTCTTAACCATCTGCTTAAAACATTTTGTGTTTTACCTGAGGGGCTTACTTACTTAATTTATTTAAGAATCATTTTATTTAACTTTTTTTAATGCCCAGAGAGGGACAGAGAGAGAAAGCAAGCCGCCAGGTCCAGGACTCAAATTGTAGTCAGCCATGTGGGAGTCTAGTACCCCCAACCACCACGCCACCTGCCAGCCCTCAAGGGACTCTTTTTTTTTTAAAGCTTTTCATTTTGATAGAATTTACGAACTTATAGAAAAGTTTCAACAATAGACCTGGAGTTGGGCACAGTGACATGTACCTGTAAACCCAGGTACTTAGGGAGCTAAGGCAGGAGAACGGCAAGTTCAAGGCCAGCCTGGGCAACATCATGAGACCCTGTCTTTTTTTTTTTTTTTTTTTTAGGGTTTTTCGCTATAGGGGCCCTTTTTTTTTTTTTTTTTTTTTTTTGAGGGATTTTCGCTATAGGGCACGTGTACTCGCCAGACAGTCAGAGAGAGACAGAGAGACAGAAAGCGAGAAATCACCCCCCGCGGGGATGGCCACGCCGCAATCCCTTCTCCTCCATTCTCCTCTCGGGATCTTGGGCATGCATGCACACGCGCCCAGCGTGTTTCAAGCCACTGGGTCCGGGACACAAACAGTGGTTTACTACATGGGAGTCCAGCGACATAGCCATTACGCTAACTGCTGGTCCCAAGGCCCTGTCTTTTAAAAACAAAAGAATTATTTTGGACTCCCACATACTCAAAATGTTTACATTTTATCTCATTTGCTTGATCATTTTCTCTATATTATCATTTTGCATATAATTTTTTTTGAACCAATTGAGATTAAGTAGGAGACACTTATCTCATGACCCCTGAGTACATTGGTGCGTGTGTCCTAAAAACAAGATGTCCTTTCGCATAATCATGGTGTGACTGCTCAGGTCGGAGGTTAAGACCGACGCAGTATCTTGTCCATATCCACATGCAGGTTTGATCAGTCGTCTCCATGACATGGTCTGGAGCTTCTCTTCTCCAGTCTGAGCCCTAACCCATAGCGTGCATTGCGCCAAGCTTGTCTCTTTCTTCCTACATGAGCTGGAGGAGGTGGTCTTTCCTGACTTTGAAATTTTGAGGAGAACAACCCAGGTACTTCCTAGAGTGCCCTTCAATTTGGGCTTATCTCCTGCTTCCTCATAACTAGGTTTAAGTTACACGTTTTGGCAGGCGCATTTGACATCCTTCTTGGTCTGTCACATCAAGAGACATAGGATCTCAGTTTGTCCCAACATGGGTGATGACAATAACTTCAGTCAGTTGGTCGAGTTGGTGCCTGCCGGATTTCTCCACTGTAAATGTCGTGTGGTAATTAAGCCATTATGAGGAGAGGCTTTGAGACCGTGTACGTGTAATGGCTCCTTCACCTCGCAGCATCTACTGACGACTCTCCCTCTCCTTTCCTTCTCTGATTTTTCTTGGCATTCTGCAGTCAGGAGGACCTTTCCTGGGGGATGCATCTTGCAAACCCAATTTTACATCTTCGTATGATTAGCTTTTAGCTTGCTAGCCTGGCTTCCCCTGGTCCCCTTCTTGCACCTTCCCCGTGGACATCAGATGAATAGTGGTGGTTGGAGGGAGGCCTGGCTCGTTCTCCTAACAGCACCTTGCTTGTCACTGGCATGACTGGTTCGGCACGTGGTGTGGGGTCATCAGGGTTGCCTCAGGCTGAGGGCTGGGTGTGGGAATGTGGTCTTTTGCCAACTCTCCAAGCCCAGCCTGGCCTTCAGGGAGGACAGTGATTGGGAGAGAGAGGACCCGGGGTTTCTTCCCACTAGGCAGCTGTGGCTGACCCCACCCTAGGCTGAATCTGTTCGTCAAAGCTGCTCTTTCTTCTGCCCCATGCACACACGCCCCTTATACTCATGACATATAGCTTTATGTTGGGCTTGGCTAGCTTTCTTTCCCCTCTCACCAAAAAAAAAAAAAAAAAAAGAAGAAAAGAAAGAATAAACATGGTCCCAGTGTGACTCTGGCCATTGTGAGTGAAGGACTTTTTTGTGTGTCCTTGGTTTCAGGGGAGCCTTATCAGTGTGACTGATTGGAAGCTTTAAAAGAGAGTCTGAGCAACATTTAGAACTCCACTTAGGAAGCCTTGCAGATCTTCTTTCCATTTCTGCTGGTACAGCCAGCTAGGGAATGGGCCTGGGAAGATGAACTGAGGTCCACGAAGTATCAGAGAGGAATTGCAAGAAAAGCAAGTTTAGATGTGTATCTGAGTGGTGAGAATCAGGGCATGCTTTTCAAATAGTATGGTTCATCTTTTTCCTTTCTCTTCCCCCTCCTTCTCTCTTCAGACAGGCTCAGAGCTCAGCCCAGTTGATGGACCTGTTCCAGGTCAGATGGACTCAGGGCCAGTGTACCATGGGGACTCACGGCAGCTAAGCGCCTCAGGGGCGCCGGTCAATGGTGCTAGAGAGCCCGCCGGACCCAGTCTGCTGGGAGCTGGGGGTCCTTGGCGGGTAGACCAGAAGCCTGACTGGGACGCTGCCTCAGGCCCAGCTCACACTGCTCGCCTGGAAGATGCCCACGATCTGGTGGCCTTTTCGGCTGTGGCCGAAGCTGTATCCTCTTATGGGGCCCTTAGTACCCGGCTCTATGAAACCTTCAACCGTGAGATGAGTCGTGAAGCTGGGAACAACAGCAGCAGGGGACCCCGGCCAGGGCCCGAAGGCTGCTCTGCTGGCAGTGAAGACCTGGACACATTGCAGACAGCCCTGGCCCTTGCGCGACATGGCATGAAACCACCCAACTGCAACTGCGATGGCCCGGAATGCCCTGACTACCTCGAGTGGCTGGAGGGAAAGATCAAGTCTGTGGTCTCAGAAGGAGGGGAGGAGCGGCCCAGACTCCCAGCGACTCTGCCTCCTGGTGAGACTGGCCTCCCAGTACCAAGTGCCAGGCCACTCCTCAGCTCTGAGGTTCCCCAGATACCTCCTCCAGAAGGCCTGCCCCTGTCCCAGAGCGCCCTGAGCATCGCCAAGGAAAAAAACATCAGCCTGCAGACAGCTATCGCCATCGAGGCCCTCACACAGCTCTCTTCTGCTCTCCCACAGCCTTCTCATTCCACCTCCCAGGCTTCCTGCCCCCTTCCTGAGGCCTTGTCTCCTCCTACTCCCTTTCGATCTCCCCAGTCCTACCTCCGGGCCCCCTCCTGGCCTGTGGCTCCCCCTGAAGAACACCCACCCTTTGCCCCTGATAGCCCTGCCTTCCCTCCAGCCACTCCTAGGACTGAGTTTCCTGAAGCCTGGGGCACGGACACCCCACCAGCAACTCCCCGGAGCTCCTGGCCCATGCCTCGCCCGAGCCCCGACCCCATGGCTGAGCTGGAGCAGTTGTTGGGCAGCGCCAGTGATTACATCCAGTCAGTATTCAAGAGGCCTGAGGCCCTGCCTACCAAGCCCAAGGTCAAGGTTGAGGCTCCGTCTTCCTCCCCAGCACCACCCGCCTCTCCCATTCTCCCAAGAGAGGCTCCCACTCCATCCTCGGAGCCCGACACCCACCAGAAGGCCCAGACTGCTCTGCAGCAGCACCTCCACCACAAGCGCAGCCTCTTCTTAGAACAGGCCCATGACACCGCCTTCCCCGCTTCCTCTGAGCCTCCTGGCCCTGGCTGGTGGGCTCCAACAAGCTCGCCTGCCCCACGGCCTCCAGATAGACCACCCAAGGAGAAGAAGAAGAAGCCCCTGACACCAGCTGGAGGTCCTGTGGGGACAGAGAAAGCTGCCCCTGGGATCAAGCCCAGTGTCCGAAAGCCCATTCAGATCAAGAAGTCCAGGCCTCGGGAAGCACAGCCCCTCTTCCCACCTCTCCGGCAGATCGTCCTGGAAGGGCTGAGGCCCCCAGCCTCCGAGGAAGTGCAGACACATCCTCCTGCTCCTCTCCCTGCCTCACAGGGCTCTGCTGTCCCCCTGCCCACAGAACCTTCTCTTGCGCTATTTGCACCTAGTCCCTCCGGGGACAGCCTGCTGCCCCCTACTCAGGAAATGAGGTCCCCCAGCCCCATGGCAACCCTGCAGCCAGGCTCTACCGGCCCCCTTCCCCCTGCCGATGACAAGCTGGAGGAGCTCATCCGGCAGTTTGAGGCCGAATTTGGGGATAGCTTTGGGCTTCCTGGCCCCCCTTCTGTGCCCATTCAGGACCCCGAGAACCAGCCAACATGTCTCCCAGCCCCCGAGAGCCCTTTTGCTACCCGCTCCCCCAAGCAGATCAAGATCGAGTCTTCAGGGGCTGTGACTGTGCTCTCAACCACCTGCTTCCATTCCGAGGAGGGTGGCCAGGAGGCCACACCCACCAAGGCTGAGAACCCACTCACACCCACCCTCAGTGGCTTCTTGGAGTCACCACTTAAATACCTGGACACACCCACCAAGAGCCTGCTGGACACACCCGCCAAGAGAGCCCAGGCCGAGTTCCCCACCTGCGATTGTGTCGGTAAGTCGATTGTTGGTGAGTTGCCTGGGTGCTGGGAAGGGGCAGAGTGTTACAACCTGGTGGGCGTAACTTTCTCGGCCCGTTTGTCATCCAGCAAACATTTACTGTGTGCGACCACCATGCTGGACACGAGCTCAGAGGCTAGTGGGAAGGACATGGAAGGAAACGGGTAACGTGGCGTATTGGCATGTCAGTAGGGGTCAGCGTAGGTGCTATCTATCCACGGAGTTAGAGGCATCGTAGAGGCCTTCCTGTAGGAGGTGCTACTTCTGCCAAGTCTTGGCAAGGCCATCAGGGTAGAAAGGAGACGTTCTAGGAAGAGGTGGTAACTTGGTCCACAGCTGAGTGGCTATGGAGGGATGGAACTTACTTAAGACTGTGCCTCGGTCTGGTGAGAGCGAAAGGGATGGGTATGTGGGGTTGAGTAGGGGCCAGGTGTGCAGGGCCCAGAGTGTCCGGATCAGGATTTTGACTTGATCCTTTAGGCAATAGCAAGCGCCTATGGGTTTGGGTTTTTCTGTTTGTTGGTTTATGCAAGAGGACTTGTGGGTGTGCAGAGAAAGAAAGTCCCCCTAGCTGGGCCTGGTCATGCCACCATCTCCTTTCTCCCATTCTCCATCCCATCAGGATCCTGGGGACCCACACAATGTGTTTTTCCAGCCCCCAGGACCAGGACCCAACCATGCCGTCATGTGTAAACTGACTTCCTCTGTGTAGTGCTTACCTTCTGTGCTAGGGGGCCGCCCTTCTTGCGAATTTTTTTTTTTATTTGATTGATTTTTTTTTTAAGGTTTTTGCCATAGGGCATGTATGCTTGCCAGAGAGAGAAAGAGGAAAAGTGAAAAAACATCCCCCGGGGGCATGGCCACAGCGCAGTCCCTTCTCCTTCATTCTTCTCTCAAGATTTTGGGCACACGTGCACACACTCCCAGCGTTATTTTCAAGCTGCTGGGTCTGAGACTCAAACCTCAGTCGACTAGGGGAGAGTACAGTGCCTTAACCACCATGCCACCCGCTGGCCCCCTTCCTGAAGACTTTAAAGCAAATAAAGCTTTTGAAAGACTGTTCTGACTGTGGTGGGGAGGAGAGATCAAGGGAACTGGAAGAAAGGTGTCCTCACAAGCCAGGCAAGAAAGGACAAGAGCCTGCCGGAAGGGTGAGTGGCAGAGCGCGGAGTGAGGGGCTCCGAGGGCCTCTCAGGCGGGAGCTTGTGCACAGAGAAACATGGCTCCCCGAGGTCTCTGTCATGGCCTGGGAGGAGAGGTGATGGGTTCTGTTCAGACGAGCTGAGTTTGAAGCGGCTCAGAGACTGGAGATCAGAGTCTCAGTTACGGATCTGGACGTGGTCAGCTTGCAGATGGTGTTCGAAGCTGTGCTGGGGAACAAGCTCAGAGGCCGAGTCGCCCTCTCTGCCTTGATTTCTGGCATCGCAGCAGGGCAGAGTCTCCGAGGACGCCCTCGAGGTGTGTGCCCCGTCTCAGAGGAGGTGCTGGTGCCGTGAGAGCGCTGGACTGGGCTGCGTGGGGGAGCGTGCTGTAAAAGCCGAGTGTTCCAGATGCTCACAGACAGGCACATCAGTGCCGGTGACGAGCACGTTGAGGACTCGTGGGTGTTTTGTTTTGTTTTGTTTTGTTTTTGGTGAGTCCCCCTTCCCCAGTCCGTATTGGCACTGAGAATCGGTATCCAGTGAACTTTCGCCCTTCTGCTTCACGGAGGTTTTTGTCCTCCTAGAGCTCACCTCAGGGCACCTGCTTTACTGTTCACAGGTCAGACTTCCCACCCGACTGTCCCCAGGGTGAGTTCTGCCATTCCTTGGTGCCAGTAGCAGGAGCCCCTCTGGGTTTGGTCACCCCTCAACCAGGCCAATGAACAAAACATAAGAGTAGTGGTATTTCAACCGAGGCCTCAAGGCTGGCAGGCCCAGCCCCACCCTCCGGTGGGGTCTCCCACTTCTGCTACCCCTCTCATGTCTTCATGGCACCAGGCTAGAGTCCGGCTCAACGGGGCCTTCTTTCCACAGGCTGTGGTTTCACCCTGTGGGTAGCAGGAAAGGGCAGTGATAATCTCCTTCGTCCATTCACCCGTGTCACTGATTAGGTGACAAGGTGTTGGCTACTTTAAGAGAGTCATAGCTACTCCGACCTTTACCCACCCTTTCTTGAATTTCTTCACTGTGACATTCAGAGTGCCGGGCAGAAATCGTATCATGTCAGCAGCTCCTGTGGGCCTTGGTGGGAGGTCTTGTGACTTTACGATACACAGATGGGTGTTAGGAAAAGGCTGTCTTCTCTACTTGTTAAAACACATACAGATCAAGGGAGCCAGCAGGTAGTGTGGTGGTTCAGGGCGCTGGATTCCCACGTGGCCGACTATGGTTCGAGTCCCAGACCTGGTGGCTTACTTTCTCGCTATCCCTTTCTCTCTCTCTCTGACTCTCTCTGGTCAAACTAAAAGGAATCAAATAAGTAATTCTTTTTTAGAAATGCATACAGATCAAATAAGTCCTGTGACTCATTAGGATGTTGTGTCCCGGTCAGGTAGGAGGAGTGGGGGTCTTCTGCCCAGACTCCTGGGGCGCAGGGTAGACAGGGGTCAGTGACACGGAGTGTCCTGGTGAACAGGGGAAAACGAGCCCTATTGGAGGCTCCTGCCCCAAGATCGTGGTCCCCACTGACCCTGTTCATTCTTAGCCGTGACTGGTAGTGACATGCTATGGAGAGCCTCCTTCTTTATTGGAATTTGGGGAGGCTTGTTCTGCTCACAGGAGATGGGTACCCCGTTGCCCTTTTCTCATTTTGTTTCTATGTGTCTGTCCTATCCACCTGTGTTTCTCCCCTTCAATCGTAGGAAATAGCCTTACCTCATGTTTGGAGCATAATTGGTTCTATTTTTTTTTTTTTTTTAAGTTTTGCTACAGAGCCTATGTGCTCATCAGACAGAGAGAGAGCAGGGGTGGAGGGAAAGTGAGAAATCACCCTTGGGGGTTAGCCATGTTGCAATCCCTCCTCTATTCTCCTCTCAGGATTTTGGGCATGCACATACACGTACCCAGTGTATTTTTCAAGTCGCCAGGTCTGGGACTTGAACCGCACGCTAGGCCATGTGGAATCTAGCTGCCTTAACCATCATACCACTGGCTGGCCCAAGGCATAGTTGATTCTTCTTCTTTTTTTTTTTTTTTGAGAGGTTTTTGCTATAGGGCACATGCACTTGCCAGAAAGAGAGAGACAGAAAGCGAGAAATCACCCCTCAGGGGGGATGGCCATGCCGCAGTCCCTTCTTCTCCATTCTCCTCTCGGGATATTGAGCACACATGTGCACGCGCCCGGAGTGAGTTTAAGCCACCAGCTCCGGGACGCAAATTGTGGTTGACTACATGGGAGTCCAGTGACATAGCCATTGCACCAACTGTTGGTCCCAAGGCATTGTTGATTCTTAATAAATACTTCAGTTATTCAATCGAATCACGAGGATATTATGTTGCTCATCCTGGTTTGTTGTATTTGAACTCCAGCGCCATCACTCTGAGAGCTTGGGCACTTAACGTAACCTCTCAGTGTCTCCTTCCCTCCTACATAAAATGAAGATGATAATAGTGACTCTTTCACCACCGCTGTTGCAAGGATTAAAGTAGTTACTGTGTGGAAAGCACTTAGCACACTCGTCTCAGCTTTGAGCCAGAAAGCAAAAGTGCAGGCAGTAGATTGTCGGCGCCTGAGACCCAGCAGTTGCCAGCCCTGGCAACTGTGGCCTGGGTAGCCGGGGAGGGAAGGCGTGGGAGTGGAGAGAAGGGGAGCAGAGATTCTCATCACTGCCGATCAGCTATTCTTCCAACTTGTGTACTAGTATCTCATTCTAAACAAAAAATTAGAACCAAACCTACCTTGTGTTGTTCAATGTTCAGTTGTACAAAACTGCTTAAGTGACAGCAGTGCAGGTAAATAGTATATGGACGATCATTTCACCCAGGTTAAAAAAAAATGAGAAAAAAGACTAGAAGGAAATAGATCAGTAGTGGTTGTCTCTGTGGTCAGACTACGGGTGACTTTCCTTTGTGTCTTTCCTGAATTTCCTATTTTGAAATGTGTGTCTCATAATCAAATGCTTTTGAAAAGGGCCCCCTAACAATAGCGTGGAAGATGGTTTGTGAAGGATGATCACTTGTAACTGCGGACCTGTTAGGAAGCTGTTGAGAATAATAATGATGATGAAGATGTTTGTGAAACACTTGCTCTGTCCCTGATGCTGTGCCAACTATTATACAGTCACCACCTCATTTACTTTCATGAGGTGAGTGGCTCCATTTTAATGATGAGCAAACGGAAGTTAGAGTAAGTATCTTACCAAAGTCAGACACATGGTGGAAATGAGACGTGAACCTCTGCAGTTGGACTCTTAACTAGTGCCATTGCCACACTGTGCTTGAGCTCGGTTAATGGAGAAGTAAGCCCTAACTAAAAGAATGGTAGCAGAATGACGAGGGCCAAAGGAGGAGGGAATTGCTCTGAAGTCACTTCTGGAGGGCCCGAGGTTTGCATTAAGGAAAGCCATCTTGTTTTCTAGAAGTGTCCGGCCCATGTGTCTGTACAGGTGCTTATCAGTGGATAGGGTAGAATTTGTCTTTGTTAATTCAGGCTCTGGACAAGGTTTAGGGATAAAGATATTTATATGGGGATTAATGTCAGATGGGGATCATTCCATATTCCAGAAACTCACCCTCTCCCCACTGGTAGGTAGAAAGCTACAGATGACAGGGCAATGTAAGGGAGACTTTTCCATAGAAGTGACAGTGAAATTTGGAGACTCCATAAACAATTGATAGCAGCTATGAGAACAACTTTATAACCACATAGAAAGTTCCTATAGCAAATGAAACCTATTATTTAAGTTGCTCAGTAACGTTTACCAATGAAGCAATTTGGGCCAATACGACATGCCGAGATAACCAAAAATCCAAACACCCAGAACGTTGTTTCGCCTTTACGTAAAAATGATGGATT